GTAGCTGTGGAGAGCCGCACCACGGCATTCTATTCATCTTAACAAGGTCACAATATTTCCCTTCTTTGTTTTGGGCCTGTTGGACATCTTCAGACCTAAGTTTGAGTTTCGAGACCTGTCTTGAGCCTTCACTTCTGTATAGAAGTGATTCAGCACTTTTAAATTTACCCGCCTCTTGCCACGTATCTATTTTTATAGGTTTCCCTATTTCACCGTCAGCAGCAACGTCACATCACCCCATTCCTTGATCCTGCCCCTTTCCTTTACCATATATAAGTATTTGTTTGAAATTCAATAAACGAGACTTGATCGGGCTTTCAACTTGTCTCCATTCTTCGCGTCTCTTGTCCCTTCCATTTCCACCCCCTCCTCCAGGTCCTAGGTTGACTGTCCCGCGGAACGGGACAGGTAGCATATGATCAAGAACCAATGGTATTGAAGGAAGAAGTCCAAGCTCCACTGAAGGAACTGGTGAAGAACAAGACTCCAGGAACAGATGGAATACCCACTGAGAAGTTTCAACAAACAGATGCAGCACTGGAGGTGCTTACATGTTTATGCCAAGAAATTTGGAAGACAGCTACCTGGCTAACTGGCTGGAATAGATCGAGATTTGTGCCCATTGCAAAGAAAGATGATTCAACAGAATGTGGAAATTATAAAATGATATCATTAATATCACATGCAAGTAAAATTTTACTGAAGGTAATTAAAAAATGATTGCAGTAGTATATTGACAGGGAACCTCCAGAAATTCAAGCTGAATTCAGAAGAGGATGGGGAATGAGAGAGATCATTGCTGAGTCTGATGGATCTTGACTGAAAGCAAAAAACACCAGAAAGATGTTTACCTGTGTTTTATTGACTATGCAAAGGCATTCAACTATATGGATCATAACAAATTATGGATAACATTGTGAAGAATGAGAATTCCAGAAGACTTAACTGTGCTTATGAGAAACCTGTACAGAGACCAAGAGGCAGTGATTTAAACAAAACAAAGAAATACTGACTGGTTTAAAACAGGAAAAGTGTGTGTCAGAGTTGTATCCTCTCACCATACTTACTAAATATGTATGCTGAACAAATAATCCAAGAAGCTGGACTATATGAAGAAGAGTATGGCATCAGAATTTGGAGTAAGACTGATTTTACAACCTGGATCTGCAGATGAAACAACCTTGCTTGAGGAAAGTGAAGAAAACTTGAAGCACTTACAGATGAAAATCAAAGCCTCCTGCTTTCTATATGTACACCTCAAGATAAAGGAAACAAAAATCCTCACAACTGGACCAAAAAGCAACTTCACGATAGGTGGAGAAAAGATTGAAGTTGTCAAAAATTCCATTTTACTTGGATGCAAAATCAACTTCATGGAAGCAGCAGTCAAGAAATCAGATGTTGTATTGCCACTGGCAAACCTTCTGCAAAAGATTTCTTTAAAGGATTCAAGAGCAAAAACATCACTTTGAAGACTAAGGTGCACCTGACCCAAGACATGGTATTTTCAATTATCTCATATGTATGTGAAACTGAACAGTGAATAATGAAGACCAAAGAAGAACCGTTATATTTGAATTATAGTGTTGGTGACGAATACTGGAAAAAAAAAAAAAATCATAGACTGCCAGAAGAATGAACAAATCTGTCCTGGAAAAAGTACAGTTGGAATGCCCCCTTAGAAGCAAGAATGGCCAGACTTTATCTCTCATACCTTGGTCATGTTTTCAGCAGGTACCAGACCCTGGAAAAGGGTATCATGCTTGGTAAAGTAGAGGGTTAGCAAAAAAGGGGAAGACCCTCAATGAGATGGATTTTCACAGTAGATATGATAATGTCCTTAATCATAGCAAGTATTGTGAGGATGGCTCAGGACTGGGAAATGTTTCATCCTGTTGTCACTAAGAATCAGAGCCAACTCAATGGCACCTCGCAGCAACAATAATAGTCCTCGGCCTGCACTTTGATCTGCAAAAAAAATATCTTCCTATAACTAAATGATTCACCCCAGCTATACCACATATGTGTAAAAATGCAATGGCATCAGACCTCCTCTAACTTCAGAATCAACACCAAGATTCGCATCAGCCCAAGGCTGATTCCTATAGGTGGAGGTCATATATACCTCCACTCTCCAATTCTAACACAAGCCATCCCTCCCACAGAATGCTCTGTTTCTCTGCCTAGTTTGATAACCTGTAGCAATGGCCACACAGAACTCACAGACCATACTGATGACTATGGGATTTATTAGGGCAGCAACATGTTACAATTCAGGATCAGGAGCAACTTGGAAGTCACATGAAGAACTCAGGATATAGTTCTGCAACCAGGACTGTTTCTTCTGGACCTACTGCCAGGAGGCCCCAGATGGGCCTTGTTGCTACCTCACTCTGTGAGCTGGGAAGCTTACCGCAGCCATTTCGTGCCAGTCTCCTGATTTTCATATCTCATACCACTGCCACATTTGATGTGCTGTCTCTCATGGTCTTCAGTGTTATAGACCCTTCTTCTCTCTCTCCATGTCACTCCCTAAATCCTCTGTCAGAGGAGCTGGTTACATAACAACCTCCTTATCAATTTCCAGAGTGGCCCCTTGAAAGACCATGAAGCACCCAACCCCCTACAAGATTTCTATGTGCCTTATTTCCACAGTTCCATTCCCACAAGGGTTCCATAAATCTTATTTGCCTTAGAAAAACTGTCCAATCTCCTTGATGAGCTACATGCACCTTATTTGTCTAGCCCCACTCAATCATTTTGTGGGAGTTACAAAACCAGTGACTTCGATTCAGTGATCCCCACTGGGTTTCCGAGGCTATAAATCTTTACAGAAGTAGATCGCTCCATCTTCTTTCCACAAAGCAGCCGATAGGTTTCAATTACTGACCTTCTGGTTAGCAGCCAAATGTCTTATCCTCTATGCCACCAATGCTCCTTAGACCACAGCTAGAAGGGCCATATTAAGCACTTCACTGCACCACACTATGATTTCGGTCCTGAAATAAACATTTTGCACTTGTTGTTCATCAAGTTAATTCTGACTCATGATGGTCCCACGTGTGCCAAGTAGAACTGCTCCATTGGGTTTTCAAGGTTGTGACCTTTGAGAAGTAGATCACCAGGCCTGTCTTCTAAGGCAATTCTGGGTGAGTTTGAACCAGCAACACTTTTGGCTAATAACTGAGCACTGAACCATTCCTGTCACCCAGGGTGTCCTTTCTGCACTTAGGAAACCCGTCCACTTCTGAAAAGTTTTCAGATGCTGGCTTCAGTCTCTGCTTTGCTGAATATTAGGGCACTGATAGAGGCAGTAGGATAGCAACAGCCTTCGATACCCAGGTCAAACTTTCACCTCTTTAAACTGCTTCTTTAAACTTATTACATAAAAATAAAATGCCCAGTTACCAACTCAAACACAGTCAATGCTCTTGATTATACATAAGAGCATTCCTAAATGTTTAAAACGAATTCTGCCCAGAAGTTTCATTTTTAGCTTATTCTAAACAAATAGCAGAAGGAAGTAGTAGTTTTCTGCCCTTTGTTCTAATTTTAAAATGTGAATAATTAACCTTCCAAGAAAGAAAAAAAAAAAAAAAGCTGATTTTGAAAGCAGTTGAGTCTAACAAATGTACAATTTAAAAATAGATTGGTAGTGCTGGTAAGGACTGCCAACTGATTTACTGTTATGGCATTTCCCATGAAACCAGTCATTCCTTCACTTAAACTGCTGGAGCATTAATGCCTTTCAGCTCTCCCTTCAGGCACTTACATGCTGGATAATAACTGGTTTTTATGGGGATTAGGCCTTATGTAAAAGGCATAGAAAGTCCACGTTTTTGCTACATTAAATTTTATTATTGCCCAAAACACTGGTTGCTACAGATTCATCTTCCGAAAACTGGTTTCTCCCAGAGCTGGCTGATAATTAGTCATCATTTCTTAAGGTTTGCATCTAGAGTTAAGTAATTATTATACCCAACCCTACAAAAGCTTTTGAATAGTTTATCCCTACAAAAGTCAATGGTTCGGACATTTTTGTACCAGTATATTACAATACAGAAAGGCAAATCCTTCCTGCACCTCAAGAAGGGAGTTTAGTTACCAAAGTATCCCAGGAAATTTCACTGTAAGAATAATTGAGGGTATCAATATGCTTTTAATTGCCACAGTATAAACCATCAGTTGCTGTCGAGTTAACTCCGAGTCATGGTGATCCCATGTGTGTCAGGGTAGCACTGTGCTCCCTAGGGTTTTCAATGACTGATTTTTCAAAAGTAGATCACCAGGCCTTTCTTCCAAGTCACCTCTGGTTAGGCTTGAACCTCCAGCCTTTCAGTTAGCAAGTGAGAACATTAAGTGTTTGCACCACCCAGAGACTCCAGTATGAAAGTTCCCTAATTATCTTCTTTCCAAATGAAAGAAGAAGGGAAAGGAGGATAGAAAGAAGAGGAAAAGGGAGGAGGAGGGGAGGCAGAAGTAGAAATAATAAAGAAATTAGAAGAGTAATCTTCTTTCTTTGCCCTGGAAGCAAGTAACAAAAAGAAATAGAATGGATGAAGCTAAACATTAACAATTGCTTCTGGTTGTTCTTTGACAGCACAAGGTAAAGTAGTGATATGAACCTAGCTTTCAGAAATTTGCTGTATGGGTTCAAATTCCAACCTCACCATTTAGAACCTGTGATCCTGAATAAGTTCATTAGCTTCTCTGAGCTTTCATTTCCTCATCCACCAACCGCAATAAACCTGCTACCTGCTAGAGCTGCAGGTCTAAATGAGAGACCCATGTTAAGCACAGGGCTCTAGCACTCACTAGAACATCAGCCTCTTCTGTACTCTGAAGCACTGACCACTGGAATGCCACCTGGGAGACTTGTTATTGTTACTGATGCCATCGCAGCAGGAAAAACAGAATATAGCCAATGTAGTTGTATTTTTTATTACAAACAAATTAAATAAAATAGCAATCAATTATAAAACCAAATTGAAGTCCATAGTTCAGGGTGGGGACAGCTCAGAAGCTGGAGACAGAGATGTAGCTGCAGTGGTTTCTTTTTCTTCATATCTAGGAGGTGATTCAGATGGAAGATGTGGAGTGGGTGACATCTCTGAGGATGAACCAGTCCCAGAAATTGTATATATAGATTCACCATCTCTCTCAGAGGCTGCACTGTGGCCTTCAGGGGTTGGGGTCCTGCTAAAGACAAGGAGACAGCAGATGAAAGGGAGCCCTCCAGTGCTTAGCTCTTTTCAAATTTCTCAATACATGCATCTCAGAGCATTTGCAAGGATCTAAGAAGTAATCTCTTCCATATTCCATTTTTATAGATGGTTCGATTGTTTACCCCACTTTCATCAAGTCCAACTCATAGAGACCCTATAGGATAGAACAGAACTGTCCCATAGGGTTTCCAAGGCTGTAATCTTTATGGAAGCAGACTGTCTCATCTTTAACCCCCAGAACAGCTGATGGGTTTGAACCACCAACCTTTTGGTTAGCAGCCAAGCACTTAACCACTGCACCACCCAGGGCTGCACTTCAATTTCCTGCCCCTTACTTTTCTTAGATCTGATACTAACATTAAGACAGTCTCACTCATATTGTCATCATTTTCCTTGTCACCGAAGATGGTGAAAATAAGTACACAGGGAATACACACACAGACACACACACACACACACACGAGTTACTCTTCTCTGCCATGTTGTAGTCTGAAACAGCTAGCATATGATAGACAAACTTATGGAAATAGAAAATGAAAACATTATGCCAAAAATGTGCAAGGGGGCAAGCATGCTTACTCATTAATGGAGTGGACTGTAGCAATAGGCAGACCTGTGTTTGAATTTCAACTCTATGCTTTCTAGCTATGTGATCTTGGGCAAGTTATTTAACTTGGGAATGACTGCCAGAGTTAGACAACCTCCTAGAGCAGCTGAGAGAATTAAACGAATACAAGACAAGCCCTTAACCCAGATCCTGGCTCACAGAATCATGGCAGTAACGACAGCAGGCTCAGTGAAGACATTTATTTTAGGGCTTAGGGAAGTTCATTGCCAGGGAAAAGAAAAAAGGAAATTCACTAATAGAATTTGAAAAATGTCCAGCCTTAACCTCCCCTCATCCTGCAGGTAATTCCAGCATTCATTGTCAGTCAGAGTCCCAGCTCACCACCCAGTTTGAAGCTCTCAAACATCTCCTGCCCCATCAGCCACCTCTTCTCCTCTCTCTTCAGATGAGCCTGTCCTCTACTTTTGTGGGAACATGAAAGTCTCTATACAGCATCATTCCCTCCTGGCCTCAAAGGATAAAGTGGTCTCCTTGGCACGCAATCCTGGGGTCATGTACCTTCACCTGTCTGGCTCTTGGGTACCAAGGAGCACCAGTGCATTGGCCACTCCACACGGGGCAGTGGAAGACAGTGGATTCCCACGCCGCTATGCATGCCCTGGACTGGAGGAGGGACCATGTGCTTTCAAACATAAATGGCAAGATAGAGTTGCAAAGGCCCCAGCTTGTTCATTGTGCTTCTTGGGTGCTGCTCCTCACTGCTTTCAAAAATACGCACACCTCCCTGTCTTGAAAGTAGATCTTCACTGAGTCCTTCACATCCCTCCCACTTTTCCCTGTGAAGTTTTCCAGCAATCTTCCCTTCACTGCCTGTACTCTGGTTTCCTAATCAGGAAGGTGCCAAAGCCCTGCTCACTCTATGCTCCGTCCCTGGGGCCTGCGTAAGTGCCTTCCTCCCTAGGTGGCTGAAGCTTGGCACGTCCCAGATCTCTTTCCTACCATCACTAGCCTTCCTGACTTGTGGATTTCACAGATCTCCAACTTTTGACCCTTTTCCCTCCTGGCTTCACAAACTTTTCACAGCTCCATCTCCTGCACCCCAACTCTCTCTCAAGATCTAGCCCCACCCAGTCTACCTCAAAGACCCACATCTCATTGCCTCTGCCCTTCAATCTAGCTCACCATATTCTCCTGCTGAAACTGACCTCATCTCCCACCTTCTTCTCAGTCAAGGCATCTCCAGTGGCCCTGTCACTAACCCTGGAAATCATTATCTCTGCCTTTTCCTCAATGTCACCTTCCATTCCAGATACCCTCTCACATTATCCTCTCCTTTCCACCTGCCATAGTTCCAGGTTCCTGTCACCTCAGGCCTGTCCCTATGACCTCAACCTTCTAACCAGTCTCTCTACCTCCCGCCTTTCTCCACTGTTAACTAACCACCACTTTGACCTCATCTCTTTGACTCAAAAACCTTCCACTGCACCCTCTGCCTAAGGGAATCCCTGGTGTTACACATGGTTACCACTAACATGTCTGACTGCTAACTGAAAGGTTGGAGGTCCAAGTCCACTCAGAGGTGCTTCAGAAGATCTACTGATGATCTACTCCTAAAAAATCAGACACTGAAAACCCTATGGACCACAGTTCTACTCGGACACACAGGGAGTTGTCATGAGTCAAACTTTATGGAAATTGCTTATTGTTATTGTTCTTGTTATTTGGAGAGCTACATGAAGAAAAAGCACTTCAATTTACTTTTTTTAATCTGACCAAATATATGCATCCTAATTTGGAGGTATGAGGGAGCAAGGAATCCTACATTTCTCTCCTGTCAATCTGAGAAGACTTGGAGCCCCAGGACTTATGGGAATGACTTAATATTGAGGGCAAATGTCCAGATTGGTAAAGTGAGGGAGAAGGGCTGATTCTAGACAGTCACACATCAGCACCTCTGTTAGAGTGTCAAAACACTTCTGCATGTGCTGGGAATCCCCTGGGTTCCCTGCATTTCCACAAGATCTAAAGCAGAAATGCTTACCGTAGCAGGGGACCTCTGGGCTCTGGCCCAGCATTCAGTCTGATTAATTGATTGTTAAACATGTTGAGTATCACGCTGTGAGGAGTTCATACAGACACCTGGAGAAGACTTCATATTTACATGGCATAATCACTCTTATCAGGAAAGACGAATCACTAGAAAAGGATGTCATGTTGGTAGAGCAGAAGGTCCATGAACATGAGAGAAACCCTCAATGAGCTGGACTGACACGACAGTCACAACAATGGACTCCAGTACACCACCAACCACAAAGATGGCGATGACAGGGTGACGTTTCACTCTATTATATGTAAAGTTGCCTTGAGTCAGTGGCAACTAGCGTTCACGCTTATTCTACAGCCTTCACAAAGCTAATTTAGCCTTACACCGGCCTGAGAAATTAAGCATGCCTATTTTTGAAGTTCAAATGGAAAGTCTTACCCATAGTTGAAGATACTGTAATATGAAGGTGGATTTTCAGTCGGAAGCAAACCATTAGCCTGAGGACTTTGTGTTACTGCAGAAGCTGAAGACTCAGGAAAGTAAGGTGGTGGAGGAGGTGGGAATATAATCACCGCATCACCTAGGGAAACACAACATTGAGTTAAAGACATATGGGTGATAAGTGGAAACAAAGTAGCAAGAGCAAAATAAATTAATTCTATACTTGTCTCATCTATAGAAGAGATCAAAACATCTGCCACTAGCTCCAGAATTAAAAAGTAGGCCTCTTTTAGCAAGTCTGAGCTAAAGTATTTCCGTGAAGTGTCTTATCTTCTTCAGATGTCTCTTGTTGATAAAACTTTTGTTCATTTTCAACTTACAGCTTTAATTCATCAAAAGTTAGCTGTTGTTGGAGACTTCTGGTAAGATGCAGGAATAGGCAGACAAGCCACACAGACCCTCTTCAACAAAGAAAAGAAGAACCAATTGACAGAGATACAGAAGATAATCCTGGAACCCTAACCTTTGAAAGGAACTATACAGAAGTGGATTAGGCACCAGCTACTGGAAAAACCTGAACGAAAACAGTGAATACAGAGATGGTCAGAGCTGCGGACTGACAGCTACTCTGATGGGACCAAAAGCCTGAATATTTCCAAGTGGTGTTGGGACCTGAGAATTGACCTAAAGATCAGCCCTGGTCACCAAGGGCTGCAGGGATGACTGCACTGGTGGCCTATGACTAGGAAGGGAAACAG